CTGTGGAGAAGCTGATCACTTGTACCGCCAATGCCCGAATCGCCGCCTTGGGCTTCGTGGCTTCTCTGCGCACTCGCCGCCACCCCGTTATGGCCAGAGACCACACGACATCGAAAACTACCTCTCCCAGCAGCATGCACCACCGTCTGCCAGGCGCCAGTCGCGCTCGCCATCACCGAGGCGATTTTCATCAACGCCCCAGCGGTATTTTACCGCACGATCTCCCAGCCCCCGCCGGGAAAACCAGACAAAGTGACCTCTGAGGGCGGCGTCGCTGAACGTCGAAGCACTGAAGACCTCCTATTGACGCAGAACCATACAAAATCTGGTCCGGCATCACCTGCTGCTGCAAATGATAGCCGGCTTTCACTCGTCATTGCAGTGACAATTGATGGTTGTGCAGTTAATGCGTTTGTGTACACCGGCGCAGACTATTCCGTACCGAGCGTGAAACTGACAACGCAGGTAAAAAAATTAATCACGCCGTGGCATAACTCGCAGATTCGGACAGCTGGTGGTCATGTCGTTACTCCACATGGCGCCTGGACAACTAGAGTACAGATTCAAGAGTATACATTCGTAGCAAGCTACCTTGTTCTACGTGAATGCTCCCATGACGTCCTTCTGTGAGTTGACTTTCTACTAGAAAATAGAGCTATCATTGATCTGCAAGAGCGCCACGTTACGTTCTCAGCTCAGTGAGCAATCAATTCGCATGATGACGGAAGGCGTGTCGACTTACTCTGTATTTCGGAACCGAGCGTGACGCTTCCTCCACAAGCAAGTGTACTAGTCGACGTAACATGCTGTGGTTTGAGCGATGGCTATGTGGTGGCCAAGACAAATTTAGAACACCTCCTTCAGCAAGGCATCTGTGCAGCTAGAAGTGTAATACACATCCATCATGGCCGATCTGAATTGCTCGTTATTAACTTTAGCAACGAGCATCGACACCTTTTCTGTGGCACTACGATAGCATTTGCCCACGAAGTAGCAAACGTCACCAACTGTCTCGTGTCAGAACTAGTGGATACCGCAGGCACGCCAATGAGTAATATTGACATCAATCCTGATCGGTCCACCGATAACCGGACTGCGCTGCGAGCGCTCTTCTTCGAGTTGAGGTCTTTCTTCGCAAGTTGCTCCATAATCCGCCAGACGTCCATTTTCAACACAGGATCATCACGTACGAGGATGGACGCGCGATACACCAGCACCCCTACCGCGTGTCGGCTAAAGAACGTGAAGCGATACGTACGCAAGTCTGTGAGATGCTTGACGATGGAGTTATTGAACCATCCAACAGCCCGTGGTCATCTCCAGTAGTGCTTGTCAAAAAGAAGGACGGGTCGCTACGCTTCTGCGTCGACTTCAAAAAGCTTAACAACGTGACCAAAAAGGTTGTGTACCCGCAGACGTGTATCGACCGTTCTCTGGATAGATTTCGTCGTGCCCATTATTTCACTTCTCTCGATCTCAAAAGCGGGTAAGTGCAAATAGAGATCAGCGAGACCACGAGAAAAACAGCTTTCGTGACCCCAGACCGCATATACCGATTTCGAGCATACTCCCTTTTGACTTGTGTTCAGCGCCGGCAACTTTTCAGCGAATGATGGACACTGTCCTCACAGGGCTCACAGGGCTCTAGTGGCATACTTGTCTTGTCTACCTTGATGATGCGATGGTCTTCTCTGCCACGTTCGAGAAGCACCTTCACCACCTGCACAGCGTGCTGGAGACTATCCGATCGGCGGACCTCACAGTAAAGCCACAGAAGTGCCACTTCGGCTATGAAGAACTCAAACTTTTTGGACATGTAGTTAGCGCTGAAGGAGTCCGGCCTGTTCCGGACGAGCTTGCCGCTGTTGCCGAATTACCAGCTCCTGTCGATAAGAAAGCCGTCCGGTGCTTCCTTGTTTTCTGCGCCTACTCTCGCCGGTTCATTCACGGCTTTTCAGAGATAGCAGAACCTCTGACTCGTCTCACTAAGGACGACACGCAATTTGTCTGGGAAAACGAGCAACAAGCAGCTTTTGATGAACTGCGACAGCACATGCAATCAGCGCCCAATCTCGCTCATTTCGACGATGATGCTGACACGGAGGTCCTTGCTGACGCTATTAATGTTGGGCTCGGTGCAGTGCTCGTTCAGCGCCAAGAGGACATTGAAAGAGTGATAGTCTATGCCAGCCGCTCTCTATCCCGTGTAGAGGCAAATTATTCCACTACGGAAAAAGAGAGCCTCGCAGTCGTGTGGGCAATGAGCAAGTTTGGCCGTACCTTCATAATCGTCCCTTCAAGATAGTGACGGACCACCACGCCCTCTGTTGGTTGGCAAGCCTGCGCGACTCTTCAGGACGGCTAGCATGGTGGAGCTTTCGGCTGCAGGAGTTTGACGTCACCATCGTACATAAGTCCGACCGTAAGCATGAAGACGCTGACACACTGTCACGTGCACACTTTCATGTCGTCAGTCAGGAAGCAGAGGAAACAAAGGCTTCCTGCGCGCCATTGGCTCATCAAAGTTGAGTATACGGGAGCGAGATGACGCAGAGATTCGTCCAATCATCGATCATTTAGAGGGCCAGGCTGCAATCATACCACGCCAATTATCCCGGTCGTTGACGTCGTTCTGGCTTCGAGATAGTGTGCTGTCCAAGAAGAACGCTCGTTCGAACAACAGTGCTTACATCCTGGTGCTTCTTCAAAACATGCGAGACGACGTCCTTTTTTCTTGCCATGACGAACCCACGTCCGGTCATCTGGGCTACTCGCAAACACTTGCCAGAGTGAGCGAGAGGTACTCTTGGCCAGGGCTTTCAGCAAGCGTCAAGAAGTACGTCAAGAGCTGTCGAGAATGTCAGCGCCGAAAGCAACCATCTGCTAAACCAGCTGGTTTGCTTCAGCCCATTGAAGCACCTTGCACTCTGTTCGACCAAGTTGGCATGTACATTCTCGGGCCATTTCCTCTGTCTTGATCATCGTGACCGACTACATGACACGCTACGCTGAGACGCAGGCGACTCCACGAGCCACAGCTTCTGAGGTAGCACTATTTTTCATGCGCCACATCGTGTTACGACACGGTGCTCCTTCCAGTGTAATAACGGACAGAGGGACGGCATTCACGGCGCAGCTTACGGAAGAAGTTTTCAAACTAAGCAACACCAGACACCGAAAGACTACTGCGTACCACCCACACACCAACGGACTTACCGAGCGACTGAATAAGGCCCTCGCAAACATGATCTCAATGTACATCGACGTACAGCACAAAACATGGGACCAGATCTTACCTTATGAGAGCTTTGCGTATAATACCGCCGAGCAAGAGACCACGCGATTCACGCCATTTCGGCTTCTCTATGGCCGCGAAGTGCAGACCATGCTGGACTCTATGCTACCGTGTCATGACGAAGACGAGTTGGCAACTGCCGCCAAAGAATTTACAGAGTGCGCTGAGGAAGCCCGGCAGCTCGTGCGACTGCATATCGGCCAGCAGCAGCAGGCAGACGCACTACGCTATAACGCCCGCCACAGAGAAGTGTTTTAAGACTCTGGAGAACAAGTTTTGGTGTGGATGCCCGTCCGCCGCCGTGGACTTAGTGAAAAAATACTGAGCCGGTACGTTGGCCCATAAAAAGTGTTACGCTGCGTCAGTGACGTGAAGTATGCAGTGGTTCCGGACTCAACACCGCAGGAAGGAAGCAGGACACGACCGGGGTCAGACGTCGTTCATGTGTTGCGCTTGAAATCATTTATTGCGCGTTATTCGTAACTTTTTCTTTACCGTACACCATTGTTTATGGTATTTATTTTATTTTTGTGAACTTGCTTCTTCGTTCATTGACTTTTCCTATATTGGCACGCTCTTTATTTCTACTTTACTTTATCAGAATTTCCGCTTTCTTGTTTTCTTCTTGTACCTATGTTGTAACATTAGAGTTGTGCTATGTACTTTTCTTTCCCTCTTTTCAGGACTCTTTTTTTTTCGAAAGAGGGGATAATGCCACCCACACGTAGTGGGTCGACTGCAAAAGCGGCTCTCAATCTGGTCGAAAATAGAAGATCGCATGCTTCTTCTCCGCTCGAGAGCCAGCCACGGCTGACGCATCGTCTTAGAGCTAGCTACTCGGTGGTTTAATACCTCCCCCCCTGCCCAGTAGTGCTGATTCATCGTGACAATATATACATTGAGGCGGACATTTGTCTTCGAGAACTCGAATTCATGCACAGGGTGAGAATTAAATTTTTACTTTCTCTTTTTCGTCCGCAACATGCATTAGTTTTCTATCATGCGAAGAATTGAAGGAGTCTTTAAATGTCGCTCATATGCCCACAATGTGGAACGCCGGGCAGACACGCACCCTAACTTGGTTACGTGAGACTAAGAAGGGTAAAACTGCATGGATGCTTATCGGGCATGGACAATATGATACAATACACCTTCATTAAAATCTACTGATCTTTGTCTGATGAAACCAAGTTTGTACATGTGTTTCGCAGAGGTGCCACGCTGTTGTTTTTGTAATGACTTTTCACTACCCCTTTATGCGTAATGCACTTTTCTTGCGTCTTCCTATACGCCAGCCGGCAGGTAAATCTTGTGAAGTTTCGTTTTCGCTTCCCATGCGTGCCCCTGAACGCAGTAAACAGCGCCTTCTGAAAGAAACCTTTCCAAAATCATTCTTTCTCATCACCCATTCAAAGAACAAATTAATTTAAATATTTGTGATTGGACAACTGATTTTCGGGCCAGTTAGAGTAAGTTAATCAAGACAACGCCGCAAAAAACAAAAAAAACGAATAGGGTCTCTGTTCTAGTAGCGCTTTTGTCATCATCAACAAAAAATTCCTGGAAAGTTCTTTCTATGCGTGATGCAAAAAATTGACCCTTAATTGTTTCTTATTCGTGGCTAACTGTTCATTTTAAATAATAAACAGTGAAGATTCGAACTAGAATATTGTACGTGCTGAAGCTGGAAATTACAAATAATATTTTATTTAACATATTTATTTTCGATATTTTTGCAATTTTCGCGATATACTTTATAGGTCTTTCTTTCGCCTCTTGCTTTCCTGTAATGTGCTGTACAGTCATTGGGTACAGTACCTTTTTTCTTGTCATCTACAACCAGTTTGTAATACGTTTCACCTGAAAATATAAGTGTTTTCACAAAGTAAAGTCGTTATCCTTCAAACTTCGAGAAGAACAATCCAATAATCAACAGCGTAAACAATGTTCAACAAAGCCAATTTTTTTTTACAGGTGGACGGTGGACTGTTTACATATGATGTGTAGTCGTGAGAGAAGCGCTAGCGGCGACTTAGTTATTACGTAAAAAAAAGAATTCATTCCAGCGAGCAAAGAACAATTTGCATATGCATGGGCTGAGTGCGTTTGCAATAAATGTTTTCCTAGAAATGAATAAATGCTTATGAATTTTCCACCCAACTCAACAAGAATAAAGTCTGTTTCACGTGAATTACTCGAGCGAAAGATTTTCAAAAATAACTTTATTTATTTACGAATAGTACATTTGTGCACACTAGGAGTTTTGTTGATAGCAACATATTAGGTGAATCCACAAGTATTATCCCTAAAACAGGGCTTTATTCCGCGTTGTCTGTGAAAAAGGCCTAATGCCTATAATCCTAAAATTAGAACTTCTGTGAGGGTCATTTGAAAATTATCCCATATGTGTATTCTCACAATATTTCCGAAATACATTCTTAGTATTATAAAACAAATTACTTTAGCGGCGAAAGCAAGAAAAATAGTGTCAATGAATCTATGTCCTGGCTAAAATTTTTACAGACATTACTTTTTATATGCCAGAATAAAATACTGATAATATTGGCACACAAGTTACCTAAATGTATTCTGATTTCGCCTGCATTGACTGTTTGCAAAGATAGGCGTAGATTGCACCGCGATTTTTCTAAAGCTTAGTGGTTGTTTAGACTTATTCTGTTAGTTTTGCGCACATGACGCGAATGCTATAACATTTATTCAAGAGCTTACGAACCTACGAGCGATAAATCTGGAGCATTCCATACAACTTGTAAATAAAGGCAACGTGCCTAACTGCTTGCCAAATTATGCTACGGTTGACGTCTTCTCACGCCACTATCGGTTTGCAGCGTAAATCATTTCCGCGTTGTCTTCTCATTTTCCCGGCATGGGGTCGCTAAATGAAAAAAATCAGTCTTTGATACACCCTCTGCTGCCTTCGTCGAATTTATGCTCACGTGGCAATGTCATGATATATGTCTCATATTTCAGATATCTCACAACTTTCTGCTTAGCCAACAGATATATCTAACAATTGTGGACTGGTGAAACTTGTAATACAATGTTTTAGAAACAATTTACATTTTAAATAACTTCATAGTTTTAAACAAAATTTCACGTACAATTTAAATAAATGCGAATTTCAATTTTATTTTGAAGTTCTTACTTACTTCGCACGTGCGTGTTTTCTTGCGCTGCGCTCTCTAAATGGAAAATAAAAAAGCGTACAATACTATAAGCACACTTAAAAAGCTTCATTTTTGTTAAGAAATGTGAGGTGTGTTGACTCAGAAACATACTATCCCTACTGAAAATTCCTACATGTACAGGACCTGTACATACGATGTTATTGGATACGGGGCATACAGGTGTCACAGGTCATACGGGTGGTACGGGTCATGCGGGTGGTGCGGGTCATGCGGGTGGTGCGGGTCATACAAGTGGTATAAGTGTAACAAATGTATGGGTATTACAGGTTATGCAGGTAATATGGGTCGGATTAGCTATTTGGGTCAAAATTAACATGCAGTAGAAGAATGTATACATTAAGAAAGGCATGCTAGTTCATGAAGCACACAGTAAAATAAACAATGTAATGTAGGTATGCTGCAATGATATCAAATAAACACGATCAGGCTAGAGTAATGTTTTGACGACTCATTTATTTAGGTCGTTCAACATTTCAGCAATGAATCTGTTCATTTTTCTTAACCTCTCCATTGGTGCCGTTTCACTAGGTCTCCCAGCAATGTACTTGCTGAAGGTATCTGTAAAAATGAGCAGGAATATGTAGCAATTAGGGACTTGTCAAGAATGTTTGTTAATGCAAAAAGCATATGCAATTAGTAGCTTAAAAATCTTTGTAAATTTACATTTAGGTTTTATGGTGAGTAAAGCTACGTGTACAACTATTATTATGTTGAATTCGACTGAGAGATCCAGAACAGCCGCCCAAGTCTTGAAGCGAGCACACGGCTTACACCGTTTTTAGATACTGTCAGTTGGGAAAGCCCGCTATGGAGGCGGCACCGACTCGTACACGCTCAGAGGGGCGCGGTGCTAACGTAGCTTTGAGAACGAGCTACCGCTGGCTTCCCGCGGCAGCGTTGAATTTGTTTTTTTCTTTTAGTTTGCTTGCTCGGATTACAGAGGCGGGAGCTTGAAGGTTAGATTTCTGTCACGCAAATCGTATTTAACATGGTACACAACAATCAAGCAAGCTTGAGTGAATTAGCAGTTTAACACAGTAAACATGCTGACATTCAGTGCGCCGGGCTGTCTAAGTGGCTATGCCTATGAGGAAAACACTTGTGATCAGCAGTACTTCTTCAAACCCCCCAATTACCCTGCAGTTCTCAAGGACTGAACAGCTGCTATTCCATGAAAAGTCTTGCAGGTAATGGTCAAAACATACATAAATAATCATACATTTCTTAGGTACAGGCCCGAACCTTATTTATCACTAAGTAGTACAGTCGAGCCCACATATAACGGCCCCACTTAAAACGAACTTTCGCTTCAAACGAACACTATCCGCGTGACCATGAAAATATATATTGGTTCAACGGCGCAAAATCGCACTTACAACAAACGTCTCCGAGCGCCGCTGATCGGTTACAGCGAACAGTCAGCGGTCTCCCGACTTCCCGGGAAACCAATTTCGACCACCGATCAGGCATCGGCGAGGTGCCTATACATTCTTATTTTTAAACGCTGACCCTGCCCCCGCGAGCCTCTAGTTGCTGCTCCCCAACCCATGAAGAAAGGAAAGTGCCGACTGTTTTTTGTTATGCACCCCTCCGTCCTTTGTCCCCCCCGCTACCCTGAGCCAGACGAGGCCCGCGTTTTCACACTGCCACCGATCTTTCGAAGACCGGTCAGCCATCTACCCCGTTTTTAATCGCTGGTCCTGTCGTTGGCATCGCCGGCCTGGAGTGACCAGACCATTTGCCTACATCGTCGGCCACCGACTGTATCCGATAGTCTGCGTCTAGTGCACGGGCGTACGCTGCCCCACCGACTCTGATATTTTGTGATTCGTTTCGTGTCAAGGACTTGTTCTCGCTCGCTTACCACTCGACTCGGCATGCCTTCCGCTCACGTGCGGAAGCACGAAAACGGCTGTTAATTTGCGCGGGACGAACAGCGAAATATCGAAGTTTGTGAGGCCACGCAAACTCGCCGGCGCAACAAAAAATTTTTTGACCACGGCTGCCGATTGTTCGAACACCCCCGCGCACTGATCCAGGCGGCCATGCTTTGACTTCTGCGCGCGCAGGCACTCTTTCCAAGTTTTTCTACGTGCGAGTTTCGTGAACCTATCAAGCAAGCTACCCAACCTGCCTCCTTCTCATGCGTTTTGGTTTTCAAGGTCGCCCTTCCGCCACATCCTCTCCTCTCTTGTCGCAATTTGGAAACTAATTTCCTGCTGTTTCACATGCAGAGGTAGCAGACGACGCTCCTTCACCAATCTCAAAGCGACAGCAGCGCCGCCTCCACCGGATACGAGAGGGGGCAGTCCTCGCGGCTGCGACAGCGCGTGCTTACCCAACTGACAGTATCTAAAAACGTCTTACACCAAGCCAAATCTGCCACTGGAACACATGAATGCTGTGCATGGGGTGTCCAGAAGCTGTTCATGCTTACGACACTTAAACCGGCTCCTGAACTTTTTCGACGTAGCCGATGATCTTCGGGCATCTGCACAGCCGGTCGGGCAACTTGTTCTTAAAATTCACTTCCACACACGGTTTGTGGTCGCTGCTGCTACAACTGTCAAAACTTAACCGCCAGTTCATTCAGCAAAGTCAAAGATGCCATTTTTAAAATGTAAAGATATTCATAGGGTGATGAGACACCACCTAAAAAAACGTTGAAGACAACCTTATTCCCCGATCGTACCAAAAATGACAGCCCTGCATTGCCGGAGTTCCAGAAAAATCTACCTTTGCCAGATGAAACAACATGGAAGCCCTATTGCGGAGTGGTTTGCTCCGAATCTGCCAGTAGAAAGCGGGAAATTGCTCCGAATCGACCAGGGGAACCCGGCAAGAAAATTTTTATCCTGCTCAACCAGTGCGATTCGACATTGACAGATGGTCAAACTGCATTTGTTCAACTTTAAAATACTTGTCTACATAGTACCACTAACAATGACTAGATGTATATTGATTAAATAAACAAACTGAAAATGTACAGGAGGCTAGCCTGACAATATAACCCCTAAATTGGATTGAAAAAAAAACAACAACAAAGAAACAGCCATTTCAATTATAAAGTACACACCTGGCTGGTAGGTTCTTGAGAACCACTTGAAGTGGTTCCAGGGTGTGGTACCGGTGGCATCAATGGCATGGCTGCATCCGTGGCTGCTCTGAAGAAGGCGACGGAGGCTCTGGTAGCAATAAGTGCTGCGGCGGTGGCAAAGGCAGCGTTGCTGACCACCCTTGTGGAGACAACGGCGAGCACGGCCATAGTGGTGAGGCGACGGTAGTGGTGGCGACGGTGGTGGCGACGGTGGATGCTGCATGAAGTGCAACGGCCTTGCCTGAAAATGCAAAAAAAAATCTAAATTACACTTTTGAAGCATACATCTTTCTTTTTGCAAGTTGAATCGAATTTGTTTTTGTCAGTTTTATAATTGTATCTAACTTGTCTAAACTCACTCCATTATGCTTTTGTCCCTTTGTTTTTGGTGCAATACAGTGAAATCTCATTAACTCAAACATGCTTAATTAACAAATAACAATTCAGGGAACAGTGACAGCTCAATGTATGTCATCTAAAACGACAGTATTATCAACAGCAGTGCCCTACTTACCGAGAAATTGAGGTAAATGCACGGGAACAAATGCGCCGCAGTAGGACGTTCGCGAAATGATCCTTATGACGTCAGACAAACTGCCTACAATTAATCACTGGTAATCAAACTAGCTCGCTAAATAAAGAACCTTCCAAGTATCAAAAGACGTAAAAAAATGCTGCTTGTTGAGTTGTTTCTCATGAAAAAAGAACTGCCGGGAGTTACAATAGAGAATAGCGCAAGTGGTTAGAAAATTCAACTTTTTCCTGGTTAAACTAGACAGGCCGTGCCATCTTGAGCCAAAACATGTCTGCCATTTCGGAGCCTATTGTAGGAAATTGATCGATGGCCGCTGTTGCTGATGCGGCTCCTGGTGCTTTAGTTTCGCTAGTAGTGTCGGCGACCGTACAATAAAAAGCCGGGCAACGTTGTGCACGGCAACAGTGACGTGAGACTTTCCGCTTCTTGAGGCGGGTAAATTAAAGTGCACTAGCTGATACAGACCACTAAAACACGATTTTATTTCAAAATAAGCACTTCCTTGGCACAAAAGGCTTCTGGACCGGTAATCCAACAATAAAGGTCGACAACTTTGATTCTCCAGCTCGCATATTTGCCTCAACTGTACTGCTGACATCACTTCAAGTCGACCTATGAGAAGTCTCCGTTAACAAAACATGGCAGCACAGCCATGTTTTCCAAGTCATAGTTGAGTGAGGTTTGTAGTACCATACTGGTTCGATTGTGCCACCATAAAGATATTCCTCTTTCATAAGTTGTGCAGCAATGTGTGATGATGCACACAGGTTGACTGAATATTGCATCGAAATGTTTTGAAATCGGCATGTCTAATCATTACTGAAGCAGGAAAATAACAACTGGGCACAGCTTCAATCCCCTTCACGGCTGCTTTAAAACAACAGATAACGAAAATCTTCCTTTTCCTTTAAGTCGATTGTATTGACCCGCCACGACTCCCAACAGCTTTCTGCACTCCCAGTTGTTTCGCAAGTGCCTCCGGGATAGGCAACCTTAGAACAAGCAATGACATCATGTGACGTCGTGATGACACGACCAATTTGGGAAACTTATTTCTGATGCCACGACGATGGCATCACAAGTTATTATTTGTCACTTTTGTTGGTGCTGACGGCCACTTTTCGCACTTGATGAAGCATCTTAATGCGTTGTCATAAGCTCATACCTTCTCTTGAATGCTCCTGTGGGTGGCCTCATGTTCATAGGCGCCATGATTAGTAGATGTGCTGCATTGGTGGCCACAACAGGAACGGCTGGCCAATGTTTCTGTAAGAGAGCAAATGTGAAAAATAAACAGCGCACATTTCTTAATTGCATCCTGAACGAAGCATTACTTTTTCAGAACTTCAATATATTACAACATGATTAATACAAACATAATTATGTTGTATTTGCTCAAAGCTACACCAGCGCGTCAGGCTGATATTTTGCCCGATTTTACCGGAGGGCTTTTTGCTAAAATCCTCGGGTGCCATAAAACTCTTTCATACTCTGAAGTGCTCCAACCATAATGCCTTACCAATTTACTCTCTAGAAAACGTGTTATAAACAAAAGGAAATTAATCCCATGCATAGTGTAGTATACATTCTACTCAAAAAGATGGGTGAAGTTGAGATATTGACTGAAGGCTGTTAGGGTGAGAACATGATAAATTAATGACACCAACCATAAAAAGGAATACAAATAAGACATTTCAGCTCTCATGATGGGAGTCTTGTTCAGAGTGACAACTAGACGGAGTGAAATTATGCTTATGAGGACTTCAAAAGTGACTCAAAACCGCGAGTGTAGATAAGAATGAAGGTTCCATGTGTTATCAATGGTTCCATGTGTTATGTGTATCCATTGTTTAAATCAGCATTGATTGCAAGTGGTGTCCTGAAGAGTTTTTTTTTTCTAAGCTTATGCTGTTATGCTAATCTATTTTATTGCTCAAGTTTTCAGGGTGTTTTGCCATTGATTGATATGTGGGGTTTAACGTCCCAAAACCACTATATGATTATGAGAGGCGCCGTAGTGAAGGGCTCCGGAAATTTAGACCACCTGGAGTTCTTTAACGTGCACCCAAATCTGAGCACACGGGCCTACAACATTTCCGCCTCCATCGGAAATGCAGCCGCCGCAGCCGGGATTTCAACCCGCGCCCTGCGGGTTAGCAGCCGAGTACCTTAGCCACTAGACCACCCCGGCGGGGCAGGGTGTTTTGCCAAGGCATTGGAAGACACCTTTACCTCGTTGACATCATTTTACATGCTGTCTGACCTGATGTTCGAAATTTCCAGTCTCACTGATATCTACACAATCACAGTCTACAAGGTATCCAATAAGCATCAAGATACCTTTCTTTTTTGTCCTTCATCTTTACCAGCCGATAATGCAATTTGTAGGAACGGAACTACTTGGACATCGTAATGGTTTTTGAACTAGTGCCTGACTCGCACGCATCAGACACGTACAGTATAGCGGCACGTTTTCTTGGGAACACACGATCAGATCTTTGCGGCTGAAAGAGCTGGCGTTTAACCAGAGTTCGAGTAGCCGGATGCTAAGAGATCTCTGTGCACTTGCTGTAGGTCAGCAGCCCTGCTAGTCTGCATTGTGCAGATGCTATTGGTTCTAGCGACAAGTGAGACAACCACCGATATATTCTGGTTTGTCAGTTGCACCAAGTCAATGCCGGTACCTGATGTTGTGTGTTTTTTTCTGCAGACGGGAAACTTCAAACTGCGCTGGTCACATTTGACTAGGACTAGCAAGCGTGTGGCCGCACTTGCTGTCTTCCAGAAATGCTTTGGAGAAAGAAGTATCGTTGATGGCACACGGCACCACACACCAAATTTTTTGGGTGGTTTGTGGCTTCCTCGATAAGTTCCGCTTTTTCAAATAGATGCCGCAAAAAACAAGAAAAAAACGAGAAAAAAGAAGCACTGTCGTTAAATTGGCATGAGGGAACACATTTTAAAAACGACGCTGTTGGTTGGCGCCCAATGTGCCATATTCAATGCTCCTCACTGCTGGAATTCAAAATGGCAGCATAACATTATTGGCAAGCTCCCTAGCAGGTGATTATTCAAACACATTCCAGTTCTGCATGCACAATGAAATGCGGGTAGAAAAGCAACTAGCTCACTATCAAGAAGGTAGGAGTCAGTTATCCCCTGAGAATAAATGTAGAAATGGTGGGTGCATATCTCGCCACACAATGCTAAGGTCACAGCATATGTTTTTTTTTTGCCAATGTAAACACGTCCCAGCTCATTTCCAAAAAAAAAGTAACCACATACCCATGCCCTGGATAGTATTGCGATACGGGCGATACATCGTAAAAGTATTTCACTACTGAGATACAAATACATTTTTAAGAAGTATCTCGATACAGCAATACAGACACTCAAAAGTATCTCTGAAATACTATCGCGATACTGCCCAGCCCTGCTCTTGAGACAGTTGTACACTAACAACTCCTCTAAGTGTCAGACAATTCAAACTGTTCCTTATAGTTTTCAAAGGCAGTCCTTTCTAATGGTCGATTCCTACTAAAGAGATTCATTTTTGTTACGGAATTTTTTTGAAGAAAACTAATAGTTCCAGCAGGGTGGGTCATGACGCTATATGCTCCTCTGCTAAGCCGCCTGAATCCCCCCCCCCCCCAGGTACATATGAATATAATGAGAAAGAATGCACTTTGATGGGTGGTGTCTGATGGCATCGTGCCTGAAGCCACAATTTTTTCTGTTACCTTGCTGGAGCCGTCTAGAGTTTGGTGAAAAAGGGTAGGAGGAGCGGAGTCCGTTCATACAGAACATATGCTTTGCTGGCTGCTGTTTCCTGCTAGTGCTGCTGTAACTACTGCACTGTCGTAGAAGGAAACAACATTCACCAACTATCACAGCTGTTTCCATACTAAGTGGCCACTCTCTCATCTCACACAAATCTGATTCTATAAAGGGCTGCATTGTTTTGGTTTTCTTAACTCTGAACGTCCGATTTCTCGGACTACCGAAATCCTGGACATGCCTGATTTCTCGGACTGATCTGTGGCACCATCAAGTTCCCCATACAGTCAATGTATTAAAAAGTCCAAAATTTCGGACATTTATAGCTTTCACCGTCCGATTTTCCTGCTAACTTTTTACTGCTAACAGCGGAATTGAAGTCACAATCAGCACCACTATTTTGGTTCTTTTCGTACCCTCGAACCCACTGTGACATGGCTGCCATACCTTTGACACCGCAAATGCCGGAATCCAGCACACGCAAATTTGTAGCCAGCCGTGGCTTAGACAAACTTGTGGCCACAACTGCATGGTGCTGTTACTAATGTTACTATAAGGCTGTGATTCGGCGGGAAAGCTACACTGTTGACCTATAGTCTGCCGCCGGCATGCTTCCCGACTCATAGAAGGCGGTAACACAACAGACTCCCAGGAACTGTTTTTGCCACGCCAGCTTTAAAATGTACGCCGAGACGACAGTCTCACCTAGAGAGGGCAGCGTGTGTAAAGAACTTC